CACTGAATGAATTGTTGTAACTCAAGGACTACCTGTATCATACTTGCTCTATGGCTGAAGAGGATGGCCAACAAAGTGGTTCGCTCACTCTTTTTGCTGCAAAGGACAATTATAATGCCATTTATTCATCATTTAGTTCTTTATTGCAACTACCTACAACATAATTGTGTTTCAGAAGCTCAGTGATCGGCCCACACTTCTGTCAGTTTCAAGTTGTCACGTGCTCATAACTTTCAGCTATTCCTGTTGGCTTCCAACAAGTAAAATCAATGGGGAAGCCAGCAGAAAGTCTGAGGCAGTCACGTTTCTGTTTCAGGCACTCAGCAACCAGCTGACACTTCTCACCTTTGCAGCATCCCATTGTCATGGAATTGTGATTCACAACCTTTCCTGTCAGGCTTCCAACAAGCACAGCCAATGGGGAGGACAGCAGGAAATAAGAAGTTATGGTCACATAAGGTCCTTTGTTAATAGCCCACACAGTCCTCACTTAACAACAAGAACTGGGACTGCCATAATTGGCAACACTAAGTGGCATAGTCACATGGTTTTCAACTTCTGAGATAATTGCTTAACAATGGAATTTGTTTCTAGTTAGCATCATTAAATGAGGAAGACATGTATTCTGTTGTAGTTCACAGTGGCCAATATAATATATTTTAGATAGAGGTTGCCTTTGGCTCTTGGGATAAGGAGATCTCCAGAAATAGTTAGTGCTAACAACATTGAATATGAACATTACGACTGTTCTTTCCAAAAAAATTGTTGGAAGAAATTTCCCTGGTTCGTTCCCAGCTGGGAAGCAGTTTCTCCCCTACAGCAATCAAAGTGGGCAAACTTAAGGTGGACCAGAACTCTGAAATAACTGTATAGCTAATTCTAACATTGGAACTGGACATCATGGAAAGCTGGGAATTTGAAGAACTACGTGGAATTATAAAAATATGCATAAATAATTAAAATCAAAACTAAATAGAATTCTGAACCCACAGAAGCAGATATNACCAATAGGTCAGAGGAAAAACACACTGCTTTGTGAAGGCACTGGCATTATCTGTCTCTTTCTATTCATTTTAGCAGTCGACTCACAAGTAGAGATCTTGCCCTCTCTAGCAGCTACTGTATTTTTTGGAGTATAAGACACACTGGAGTATAAGACACACCAAGGTTTTGAAGAGGCAATTTTTTTAAAAAAAAGGTTTTGCACTCTGCAAGCCTCCCAAAAATGGCCCCTTTTTCGTGAAAACAGGCCCATTTTTTTCCAAAAAAAAGGCATGAATAGCCTTTGGGGACGTGCAGAGTGCTCCGGGGGGGCGGGCGGCGGCTCAAAAGCAAGCAAAAAACGGCCCATTTTTTGCAAAAACGGGCCCGTTTTTTGTCAAAAAAATTTGCATGCATAGCCTTTAGGAGGTTTATAGAGTACTCCTGGGGGCTGGGGGGGGCAGAATTGTGCAAAAAACAGCCTTTTTTCACTCATTTCTGCCTTCCCCAGCCCCCAGGAGCTCTCTGAAAGCCTTCTACAGGCTCTGCACGGCCATTTTTGCGAAGGGGGGGGTGGAGTTTTAGGAGGCAAAAAAATGCTGTATTCAGTGTATAAGACGCACCCAGATTTTCAGCCTCTTTTTTGAGGGGAAAAAGGTGAGTCTTATATTCTGAAAAATACGGTATATACTTTTTCTTCTGCAAAATGCCTCGTTCAAAGATGTCACTGCTTCTTAGCTTCAGAAACCTAGGTCCACTTAAAGGACAATCAAGCAAAGCCAACGATGACAAAATACGAATAATCAACCAATCAAATCAAGAAAAGCTTCAACAGGTATTTAATTAGTAAGACATCTTACTGTCTGAAGACTCGAGCAAAGACCTAATTAGCTGGAAACAAGCATGTATTAGAAAAAACATGCTGGGAACATGGACTAAATCAACAATATTCCCTTTGGTTGATGTTGAGCAGTCATTCCTCAGTTGTGAACATGTCAGAGATAAATACCAAGCTGATTGGAAACTTCTCTTTGTTACATTAAGCTAGCTGTGACCTCAAAAGCTGCTTGAAATATCTCCAGCTGCTTAAACTCTTTCACAAATGACATTGCTAATCTCCTTAACTCCAGGAGGTTTCTAAGATGAAGCATACTACAAAACTGCAAATTTGGGTGATTGACATCAGAACATTTATCCATACCTTGTCTTTGGATATTTCTCCGGGTTTCCACTTGCCTTCCTGTACATCATGCCTCATTACTTACAGCCTGTTGTTGCTGAGATAAGACAATTAGGAGGCGAGCCTGGAGAAATATCTGAGGCTGGGAAGATGTTCTCAAAAATGTTCAGACAAAATGCCACATGTCCAGCTGGAATTCACCTAGCATAGCTGTTGTGATGGATTCTCCTTGTCGATTCAGAATCACTCCAAGGACTTATGTCTGAAGTGCCAGCCAAAGCAATAAGATCTTTATAGTAGTTTCTACTGCACAAGTATTCCATTGCTTCAGCTAGAACTGTTGGAATCTGATTTCAGATTAAGATATCTGATGCTCTTTCATTGCATTGAGATGCTTCAGGAAATTAAGTGGTGCTATGCTATACAGGTAATCCTTGCTTCATGACCACTCATTCAGTGACAATGGCACTGAAGGAGTGGTACTTATGACTGACCATCGAAGTTCTGGCCATTGAATTTCCTCTGCAGCCACATAATTGTGTTTCAGAAGCTCAGTGATCAGCCCACACTTCTGACTGTCAGTTGTCATGTGATCATAATTTTGAGGTTTCCCTGTTGGCTTCCAACATGCAAAATCAATGGGGAAGCCAGCAGGAAGTCTGAGGCAGTCACATTTGTGTTTCAGGCACTCAGCAATCAGCTCACACTTCTGACCATTGCAGCATCCCATTGTCATGGGATTGTGATTCACAACCTTCCCTGTCAGGCTTCCAACAAGCAAAGTCAATGGGGAGGACAGCAGGAAATTGGAAGTTATGGTCACATAAGGTCCTTTGTTAATAACCCACACAGTCCTCATCTAACAACAGGAACTGGGACTGCCATAATTGGCAACACTAAGTGGCATAGTCACATGGCTTTCAACTTCTGAATGAGTTGCTTAACAATGGATTTTCTGCTCCTAGTTAGCATCATTAAATGAGGAAGATATGTATTCTGTTGCAGTTCACATTGGCCAGTATAATATATTTTAGATAGAGGTTACCGTTGGCTCTTGGGATAAGGAAATCTCCAGAGACAGTTGGTGCTAACAATCTTGAATATGAACATTACGCTTGTTCTTTCCAAAACAAATTTTCCTAAAATATTTTCCAACATTTAAGGAAGGACAAGAGCCTGCAAAAAATTCTTTTTTGTTACCAGATATTTAGGATTAGTGAAAAAGAGAATTCACAGAAAAACCACTTATACGTAGAGATCAGTTGTCTGTAGCTAAATCTTCAAATTCCAAAGACTCCTCAGCTAAATTGCCTACAATCCACATAGGGATTTTGATCAACTGTAACAATATTGCAGATGTTCCATTTAAAATATCCCTTTCTTCTAAACCAGCAGTTTAAATGTGGATTTGGGGGGATAATTGTATAACCCTTCAACCCTATTTTTCCCTTTTTTCTGTGGAAAAACGCCTCAAACTTCCCTCCTATTAGAGCATTGTCTTTCAAACTCAGCAACTCTTAATTTGTATGGACTTCCATTCTCAAAGTTCCTCAGCGAGTCATGCTGATTGGGGAATTCTGGGAGTTGAAGTCCAAACATCTTAAAAGTTGCTGAGTTTGAAAGACACTGCTCTAATAGGGAGGAAGTGAAGTGGCTATCAACCCACCAGTTATCATTTTGTCCCTCCTTTTTTATATGCTTTCCGTTTTCCCCTCTAGTTTTTTGAAATCTGGGACTTGAAAAAGTAGACACTATTCTAGAGGGTGATCACAATAATTGGGAGAAAAAACCCATGCCCCTGTTGCATTTATTTTCAGTTTATTTTGGGAACATCTCAAGTAGGGAATTTATTTTTTTCACAACATACACTGGTGATTATGCAATACACAACTGGTCATGCACCACTGCAGTTCACAGATTTAGCAGATTCTCCTTCTAGATTTTGGGAGATGGGAGTATATTTGTTTCTAATTTTGCTCCAGGCAATTACAAATAAAGCTGTTGTATTCTTTCTGAAAACATTTTGGTCCATTTTTTTTTGTACTGACTCCTTTTTCCTGGCTATGGCTTTCTCCATAAAAATTCAGTATCTCTTTCTGTATTATTTGGAATGTAATACTCTCCTTCACCAAACCAACTGTCATTACAAAATGCATGGTCAAAGTGATGTGGAAAAGGAAAACATTTGGTAGGCTAACATTCCCCTGTCCTAGTTTTTAAGTTGAGGATTCAACTTACAGGTGGTAAGATTATCTTTTGTCATGTGTTCAAGCCTTCCCCCTTCTATTGCATTAAAAAGAGCAACTGGCAAAACTTAGCAAGGTCTCTAAAGCTGGATCAAAAAGCTGCTTTGGAGAGAGGGGTTACATCGGGCACTGAGAAGATACCTGAAAGGAAGCAAGTTTGGATACCGTGGCATACATCTGGCTTTCTCTGCTTGCTGCCCATCACTTGTGTTGGGAGAGATATGTTCCAGCCAAGAAGGAAAGGCTGGGATGCAACTAGTTCATACTTGGGGTATATATAGAGAGCCAGGAAAAGAAGATAAAGGGGCTGTTGCTCTTGCAGGTTGGCTTCAGAATGAACCTCTACTACTGAAAGGGAAAGACCGACTCACCTTGCTTAGCCCACCTTGCTAAGTAATATATTAAACTACAGCACCATTGATTGACTGAATTGAACTGCTGCTCTCATATTCCTTGCACAATTTGCAAGATGTGGAGTCATTTATAAGAAAAAAGTGTGATAATGCAAAGCAATAATTTATAATATAATTCAAATTAAACTACGAGGTAATACAGAACAGCAAAACTGGTAAACAAACCACAAGAATAAAGGAGATAGTAAAATGTTCCTTTATTTAACCATACTAAACAATAGTAAAACTGAACCAATGTGGACTGTGGTTACTTTTTACTGACTAGTTATAAAAACAATAGCAAAATGTTTCAGACGTTTACCTTGAGAAACCTTATACAATTTCATTCAGAGCTGAACTGATTTTGCTGGTTACTGAAACATGTTAGCCATGCTCTCTCCATTTACAAGGTTCCTTTCCCATGTAGATTCTTACATAATTTTGGAGATTTCGATTTGTTCTGAAGGATTTTCCCCACTCCATACATTTCTAATTTTTCTTCTCTGTAAGAGGTTGAATCCAAGTGAATCATGCCTGATCCTTTGATTTCAATTTTATAGGTGCTGTTTGGAACAGGAAAAGTAATTTTGGTAGGATATTCTTTTTACTGTAGCAATTCCGCCCAGTACTGATGTAGATTTTCCATTTTTCAAAATCTAATTTAATTTGCTTAAGTAATTTTATATACTTCTCTTCATTTATCACTGCATATCTTGCTGTTAACTATATTCCCAAATATTTAACTTTCTTAACTATTTGAATGGTTTCTTTGATGTTTATAAAGATTTCTCCTGTTAGTGAAGCTCTTTCCACACTCGAGGTTTTTTTTTGTTGGGAATTCTTTGATGTTGACAGAGGTGTCCATCCCGAGCAAAGTTCTTTCCACATTCCAGACATTTGTAGGGTTTTTCTCCAGTGTGAATTCTTTGATGTCTATAAAGACTCCCTCTCACACTGAAGCTCTTTCCACACTCCAGACATTGATATGGTTTTTCTCCAGTGTGAATTCTTTGATGTCGAAAAAAATTTCCCCTCACACTGAAGCTCTTTCCACAATCCAGACATTGATATGGTTTTTCTCCAGTGTGACTTCTTTGATGGAGACGGAGGAGTCCAATTTGAGCAAACATCTTTCCACACGCCAAGCATCTGTAGGATTTTTCTCCAGTGTGAATTCTTTGATGTTTATTAAAACTCTTCATATTGAAGCTCTTTCCACACTCCAGACATTTGTAGAGTTTTTCTCCTGTGTGAATTCTTTGATGTTGACGAAGATGTCCCCCCTGAGTAAAGCTCTTTCCACACTCCATGCATTTGTAGGGTTTTTCTCCTGTGTGAATTCTTTGATGTTGATGGAGGTGGCCACCCTGAGTAAAGCTCTTTCCACACTCCATGCATTTGTAGGGTTTTTCTCCTGTGTGAATTCTTTGATGTTGATGGAGGTGGCCACCCTGAGTAAAGCTCTTTCCACACTCCATGCATTTGTAGGGTTTTTCTTCTGTGTGAATTCTTTGATGTTGATGGAGGGTATCACCCTGAGCAAAGCTCTTTCCACATTGCAGGCATTTGTAGAGTTTTTTCCCAGTGTGAATTCTTTGATGTCGATGGAGGTGTGCACCCTGAGTAAAGCTCTTTCCACACTCCATGCATTTGTAGGGTTTTTCTTCTGTGTGAATTCTTTGATGTTGATGGAGGGTATCACCCTGAGCAAAGCTCTTTCCACATTGCAGGCATTTGTAGAGTTTTTTCCCAGTGTGAATTCTTTGATGTCTATAAAGATTTCCACTCATACTGAAACTCTTTCCACACTCCAGACATTGATACGGTTTTTCTCCAGTGTGAATTCTTTGATGATTATCAAGAATTTTCTTCAGATTGAAGCTCCTTCCACACTCCAAGCATTTGTAGGGTTTTTCTCCTGTGTGAATTCTTTGATGTTGATGGAGGGTATCACCCTGAGCAAAGCTCTTTCCACATTGCAGGCATTTGTAGAGTTTTTTCCCAGTGTGAATTCTTTGATGTCTATAAAGATTTCCACTCATACTGAAACTCTTTCCACACTCCAGACATTGATACGGTTTTTCTCCAGTGTGAATTCTTTGATGATTATCAAGAATTTTCTTCAGATTGAAGCTCCTTCCACACTCCAAGCATTTGTAGGGTTTTTCTCCTGTGTGAATTCTTTGATGTTGACGGAGGGTTCCACTCTGAGTAAAGCTCTTTCCACACTCCATGCATTTGTAAGGTTTTTCTCCAGTGTGAATTCTTTGAT